AAGTGTACATTTAAAGTGCAAAGAAAGTTCCCAAGTCAAGCATGAGCCCGAAGTCAAGTTTAGTCTAATGTGTGAATATATATGTATTTTATTCATAAATGTACATATATAGAGATACTTATACAACATATATTTTTGTAAACTTTAATATATGCCATCACAACTTCATCAAAAAGTGGTAGAAAAGAAAGGTTCAAAGCAAATGCTAACAATAGAAACAATTTAAATATTGCAATAGAAACTAGTCAACACTTGTGGTAAATGTCAAGTTTCTTATCTTTCAACTTTGGAAGTCAATATAAGCTTTAATATATTTTTTGTGTAGCTTTATAGCATTTCAGGGGCTGCTTTCATTTTTCGGCCCTCGAAAGCCTTTTTTCGACTAAGTTTATGGCATTTTCCACGACAACTCCCAACGTACACATGCTAATTACGTCCCATCTTTCCCCACAGGTCCTATTTGACACAACGAAGCTACCTGTGCCATCCCTACAGTGGTTCGGGGGTTGCTTTAATTTTTCGACTCTCCAAGGCCTTTTCGGCTAAGTTTATGGCCTTTTCCACGACAAGTCCCAACGTACCCGTGCTAATTACGTCCCGTCTATCCCCACAGGTCCTATTTGACACAACGGAGCTACCCGTGCCATCCCTACACTGGTTTGGGGGCTGGTTTCGTTTTTCGGCCTTCCAAGGCCTTTTTTCGGCTACGTTTATGGCCTTTTCCACAACAAATCCCAACGTACCCGTGCTAATTACGTCCCGTCTGTCCCCATAGGTCCTATTTGACACAACAAAGCTACCCGTGCCATTCCTACACTGGTTCGGGGGCTGCTTTCATTTTTCGGCCCTCAAAGGCCCTTTTTCGGCTAAGTTTATAACATTTTCTACGACAACTCCCAACGTACACGTGCTAATTATGTCCCGTCTTTCCCCACAGGTCCTATTTGACACAACGAAACTACCCGTGCCATCCCTACAGTGGTTCGGGGGTTGCTTTAATTTTTCGGCCCTTCAAGGCCTTTTTCGGCTAAGTTTATGGCCTTTTCCACAAAAATTCCCAACGTACCCGTGCTAATTAGGTCCCGTCTGTCCCCACAGGTCCTATTTGACACAACGGAGCTACCTGTGCCATCCCTACACTAGTTTGGGGGCTGGTTTCGTTTTTCGGCCCTCCAAGGCCTTTTTTCGGCTAAGTTTATGGCCTTTTCCACGACAAATCCCAACGTACCCGTGCTAATTACGTCCCGTCTGTCCCCATAGGTCCTATTTGACACAACGAAGCTACCCGTGCATCCCTACACTAGTTCGGGTGCTGCTTTCATTTTTCGGCCCTCGAAGGCCCTTTTTCGGCTAAATTTATGGCATTTTCCACGACAACTCCCAACGTACACGTGCTAATTAAGTCCCGTCTTTTCCCACAGGTCCTATTTGACACAACGAAGCTACCCGTGCCATCCCTACAGTGGTTTGGGGGCTGCTTTAATTTTTCGGCCCTCCAAGGCCTTTTTCGGCTAAGTTTATGGCCTTTTCCACGACAACTCCCAACCCAAAATTGTTGTCCAGTAACAGACCCCAAACCTCTTCTCTCTCAAACTTATCACTATGAACCAATCATGGCTTTCATGCATTTTAGACCAGTCAAGTTGTACTAGTTATATTGTACTAAATCAAAATTCATTCCAATTTAATTGCCTGCTGCAATTAGTCTTAAATTTGAAATGACATTCAATTGGATATCACTTCTAATATAGTAACTGGCCTCATATTCATAGGCTCATCGTATTTGCTTTTACAAAACTTCATATTTCATTGAAATCATGTGGTTACCTTATGGAAATCAGGTTACGGTCCTTTGTGTAATGTAGCAAAACACCACGTCGGCTACTGCATAATCTACTCACTTTATGCCTCAAAACCTATTCGAAGCACATAACAAAAACAAAATTTGCATAGCAACTTTAGAAAAGAATTCTATGTGAATATGCTCCATATTTTTTGTAGAAGTTAAACTAGCTTGTCAAACAAAATTTTGTTTACCGAATAGTAGGATGACCGTCTAAACCCTCCAAGAGGGTTGTGAGCCGAGACACCACGTCATTCAAATGATTGAGTTGTACTTGTTGTGCCTCACGTGCTTTTTTTTCTTTATCGACTTGTTTGATCAGCTACTCTCTTTCCCGCTCCTCCCGATCTCTTTGCCGCTCCTCTTTCTCCTTCAATAGCTCCTTCTGATCTTTTTGCCGCTCCTCTTTCTCCTTCAATAGCTCCTCCTGATCTCTTTGACGCTCCTCTTTCTCCTTCAATAACTCCTCATGATCACTTTGACGCTGCTCACAAAGAACCTCCAGTTCCGTTTTCATTGACTCCATATGTTTATCACGTGCTCGTGCTGCACTAGAAGCTGTGGAAGTGGGTTGTGGGCCTATCCCACATCCACGCAAGTAATTTTTTTTCCCCCAAGCACTTGCCTTGATATTTCTTTGTGGGTCAATGGCAACCCCGCATCGGTGGCTGTTACTTGTAGATTGAAATTCCTAATGATATCACAGCACATACAGTATACCATCTGCAGTCCTTTGTGCATACATACCTGTACCTATTCTCTCATTTGCATGCTGTAATGTTCACAAGCAGCACTATACTGTCCTATTATGTTATGTAGATACATGTACTGATTCTGGATTATCACTGGAGTGGAGGCATGAAGAAATATATTGTTGATTGTGTTACAAATTTATCCTTTACTCAGATGAAACGATCACCGCTGTTGTCACCTGTATTACTTTGTTTCAAACTAAGATTGGTGGAAGCCCTCAACAAATATAAAATGATGAAATTACATGCACTCGAATTGGTATACCTTTTGCGCTTGCTCTTCAAGACTGTAGAACTGGAAGAATTGCTGTGCCAATTCCTTTTCTTTTGAGTAATGAACCAATTATTTATCTGTTTCAATTGCAACCCTGTTTCCTGGACCAATCTTGCCTTGTGTTCCTCCTGAAGGAACAACAATTAACCATGGTGATTTAGAAAAACTCACCACTTAATTCTTGCAGAAAACTTACAGTTGTGCTTCTCAAATTAGAAAAACTTACCCATTAGTTCTATATATACCCTACGAAATTTGAAACTAATAGCACAAAAGCAACTCATTCAAAGCCAAAGGTCATTGTGCTTCTCAATCATGAAAACTTACAGTTGGGTACAGCCACTTAGAATGTGATTGCCACCAAGCCTTTAACATAGACGTCGTATCACCAGGGACCTATTATATATATATATAGGGTTAGTTTCGAATATTCCTAAAACAGAGGCACATTGCTCATATAGTTCAACAATCCACAATGGAGAATCAGAAAGTGGCAATTCGAAATTTTAACCAAACCCAATGACGAAATTAGAAAAAAGCCCTAAACATTGTTTGCGAAATCAATGGAAATTGAAAGAAAAAAAACATTTAAAAACCCCATAGTAGAATGGGAGACACAGTGAGGAAGAGACCCAGAACGATAGAGAGGGAGAGAGATGAGAGAGAAATACCTGATAGATTGTCGTGGGGCCGATTTGCAGTGGTTGTGGTGGCCAACGCCAGTGGCCAGCAACGATGATGATCGGCGGTCAGGTTTGCTATCGACTACTGGTGTGTGAGGTAATATATGTGTGAGAGAAAACAGGTCCGAAAATGTGTCCGTGAGATATATATATTGGGCGCGAATATTTAGTCGATTTCCCTCTAAATTTTTTTTCGAATATTTAGCGACTAAAGCATCATTTGTCGCCAAACATCATTAACAGCGACCAAACATTAGTCGCCAAAAACACCTTATTTGGCTACTAATTCCAATTTTTGGTCGGCAATGTTTTACTATACAGCGACTAACCTAGTTTTGGTCGCCACAAATCCATTAAAAATACTCCATCTTTGGGCGACAAATTTTTTTGGTCGCAAAATGGTGGAAAACAACGACTAAAACTAAGTTTAGTCACCAATAATTACATATGGCGACTAAATCAATTTAGTAGCTAAAAACATTAAACAAACACCGACTAAATCAGGCTGTTTGTCGCCCAATATGGTGCTTTTGGCGACTAAAATTGGTTTTGGTCGCCAATTTTGGTCGCCAATTATGCATTTTGTTGTACTGATTTGATAGAAAATTTGATATCCCCACACCATCAATCCTCTCACTAACAATCTACTCACTATCAATTCCTTATATTCTATCTTTGAAAACAAGCAGACCCTAAAAGACAATAAATAGATTTCAATAAATCACAATGACTCACCAACAACAATGGACAATAGCTAAGAGACACTGCAATGTCATAAGAACTAATAATATAATCTAAGGATAATTAAAATTAATTACATATAAACTCCGTCTACGTTAAACCAGCACACAATCTCGGATACGCATCAGGGCATAAACACAAATTAACAGCAATCCAACTTAATTAGTATCAATAACACAAATTAATAAAACTATAATTGAGCCAACATATGAAAAGCATCACTCTGTATTTTGTTTTTCGTTTTTTATTTTCTGTTTTCATAGAAAAGATTTTGCTTGATAAAATTGTTTCTGAAATTTTTTTTTACAAAAAAAAAAAAAATGGACACGAAAATTTTAAAAAAAAAAAAAAAAAAAAAAAAAAAAAGGAAACGAAAATTTTTTAAAAAATAAAATTGGAAAACAACCCTCTTTGTTTCCAAGAACACAAAATTAAAAAATGGAAAACAACCAGATAGAGTGCATGCCTTCCTGGACAATAGCTAAGAGACACATGCAATAGACAAAAGCTAAGAGTCACTGCAATCTCACAAGAAATAGCCATACAATTAAGGACAAGAAAGTTGATTATGTATCAACTCCGTCTACGTTAAACCATGTCTTTCAGATAAGGTGTGACTGTGCGACTGCTTGGCCACGGATCAAAGCATAAACACAAATTAGCAGCCAGTCAATTTGGTACTAAAAACAGAAAACAAAACTCAAAACAAGCATTATTGAGCAAGCCCTAGCCCTATAAAAAGCATTCCTTCCTAGACATGTTTGTGCACAAAAACAACACAGTTCAATCATATTTACACTAGTTCAAGAAATCAAAGCCGAGGTGGCCTAGCTATCTAGCTTAGAATGGCATTCAGGAAAATGAGTCTGGCAAGCTTCCTCTTCCTCCCATTGCTAATGCTACTATTAGTGTCGGGTTCTAACGCTGGAGGGATTGCTATATACTGGGGTCAAAACGGAAATGAAGGCACTCTAGCGGAGACTTGTGCTACAGGGAACTATGATTTTGTGAACCTCGCATTTCTTTCGACATTTGGCAACGGTCAGACACCCATGATCAACCTCGCCGGTCACTGTGATCCGTATAGCAATGGTTGCACTGGTTTAAGCTCAGACATTAAATCGTGTCAAGCGAAGGGAATCAAGGTGATTCTTTCTATTGGAGGAGGGGCAGGGAGCTATTACCTAGCCTCCTCAGATGATGCTAGACAAGTCGCGACTTATCTCTGGAACAACTTCTTGGGGGGACAATCTTCGTCCCGCCCACTTGGCGCTGCAGTATTAGATGGAATCGACTTTGATATCGAGGGAGGTACAAACCTATACTGGGATGACCTTGCCCGGTACCTTGCAGGATACAGCAAGCAAGGTAAGAAGGTTTACTTAACTGCCGCTCCCCAGTGTCCGTTCCCCGATGCTTGGGTCGGAGGTGCACTCAAGACCGGTCTTTTTGATTATGTTTGGGTTCAATTCTATAACAACCCTCCTTGCCAATACGCGTCCGGGAATGTTGGAAATCTTGAAGATGCGTGGAAGCAATGGATTTCAGATATTCCGGCTAAGAAGATTCTCCTAGGTCTGCCTGCTGCTCCTGATGCAGCTGGAAGCGGTTTCATTCCCGTTTCTGATCTCACCTCCATAGTGCTTCCGGCAATTAAGGGTTATCCCAAGTACGGAGGTGTGATGCTTTGGTCTAAGTACTATGATGATCAGACTGGTTACAGCTCTTCCATTAAAACGCATGTCTAAAAGATGTTTCCTACTACTCGTGTGGTTTCATATCTATCCTATTTACATGCATTATGTATAAATATTGGAATATGTTATTTTCCCTTTTTGCATATATATATATATATATACAAGTTGAGTGTGTTTGAAGGTTATATATAAGTTGAGTGTGTTTTGAAGGTTGGTGTGAATGGAAATTTTAATATATATGAGCATGTACATACGCTCTGGAACATCAAAACAACTAGCTGTCAAGGGACTACCAGCCAAACACAATTATGGAGTTGCTATGTTGTGATTATAACATTGTTGGCTTTTTAGCTTTTCGAAGGGTATTTTTGTAAATATGAGCGTGCCAGCAAGGATCACTCAGTCCTTACAGAAATTGTGATTGCCAACCAATTACCAGACGATTGTGTTTTAGTTCTTTCAGCCTCAATGAAGAGGACTTTTACTGGTGGCTTGACTTAGGAGAAATTAAGAGAAATAACAATTAATATGAAGAACAATGGAAGTATTTCATAAAAATGAAAAACTTACAATAGTCCAAACTCAGCCTCGAAGAGGTTTACAGCAACAGTCTTCTTGAATCTACTTGAGACTACTCCTATGAATTGAAGTGCATTGCAGATATGTAAAGTGCAGGTATTGAAAGTACAGGAATGTAAAATTGAAAAGTAAAATATGAAATAAAGACTGGTATGTATGATCTGAGTTCCGTCCCTTTTCCTGGGGGTCCTTCTGCTATTTATACTTGTCAAAGAGGTCTCTCTGCTATTTATACTTGTCAAAGATGACCTTCGAACTGCTCTTCGAACCGTTGAACTGCTCCTCCATGATCGCTGATCATGTTGCCTTAGAAGTAGCTCCATTATGCCACCATCTGCAGTTAGGCTTCCCTCTTGTATTTGAATTTGAATATGAGTAACCGTTGAAGCCACGTCACCTTGCGTTTCTTTACTGATCCAATGTTGCTCAGACCATGTGAGAACCAATTATCATCACCACGTGTACGATCAGGATTGGAGACTTAAATTATTTTCCAATAATACCCTTATTCTGCCACGTGTCGGATTGTAACTGGCTTTTACAAAATATATAGCTAACATTACCCCCCGCACTAATATACCCAATACTTGGTGATATTAGTGGACCAGGAAGTTTTTCCCGCGCTTTTGGATCGTGTATGGAATTCATCTCCAGGAAACATAACCGTCACCTATTTGATGATTATTTGCATTAATTCCCTTTTGATTCTGTTGGATATCCCAACACCTTAGTATTCGAACAGACCATGGCTAAACCAACTCCCCTTTCTACTGATCAAGCATACGAAGAGTCATTGGGTAATGCTGATCCCCGTCGAAAGAACCTCCACGCATTCATTAGCCACCTTTATCCACCTTCCTATATTCAGGTTATGGATGCATTTGCAAATTATCATCCTTTGGACCACGAATATATTGCCCTTAAGACTTCGATTCGACAAACTACAGCCATAGATACAAGAAGTTCTTCCTCTGATTCTTCCTTGTATTTCGAACAAACTGCTTTCGATCCCTCGATTCAGCAATTTGCAGCCATGGATTTAGGAAAAAATTCTGCATGGGATGAGGCCACAACTTCTTCATCTCCTGGGGCCTCTGGCTGGACCAACTGGTCAACACCTGAGACTTGTGATTTGAGGGAGCGAATCAATCACCATTTCGTTGAATTCATTGACCCTTTGGAATTTCCTTCCTACGCTCGAAGTTCAGTGGTTTATCTTTATGTGCCCATTGACCAACGACGTAGCTTAGAGGAGAACTTGCTTGTGGCTTGGTATACATCTTCTATACCTACGAAGATAATGCCTGCTATCCGGCGCTCAGAAGAAGCACAAGGGTACAACCCATCATTCTTAGCCAAGAAGGCGAAGATCTGCTCTTCTGACTGGCTTGCTTATATTAATGCCTTTGTTCCTTCCGCTCCCGCGCCATCTCCTATAATGGAAGCATCCACACCTTCTTCTCCATCCTTTCAAGCTGAAGCATCTACATCTTCTTCTTCACTGTTTGAAGCAGAACCATCCACTCCGTCTCCTCCTCCTACTTTGTCCTGGACGGAGAAACTAAGGCTTGCCTTTCCAATGGACAAAGTTTTTCGACCTTACCAACCTCCGTCACCCCTTTCTCCAGCCGAGCGAAAGCAAGCTCAACTTTTGCTCGCGGCTTTCCCCCACCTGCCCTTCAATGTTCTTGAGAATGACATTTCTCTTAAGAACTTTCGATGGGCTTGTGATGTCCTGACTAGGGGTTATGTCCTCAACCCTCTTGCCCAAGCAGAGCTTCATTTGTTTTTGGACCAACTTCCAGTGCTCCTCCACTGGCATCGGAATTCTAAGATCACCACCCAAAATCTGGATCAACTTTTATCTCTCCGAATTCATGCCCAGTATGAAGCAGAAAACTTCACCGAAGAATTCGACGACTTCAAGAATAAAGATTCTACATATTGGGATGATTTGATCGTAGATGAATTGGAACAAAGATTGAGGGAAAAGGCTTTTGAAATAAAGGCTGAAGAGCTCTATTATGAAGTGAGAGCACATCAGCTCATGCAGCCAACTCTTGAAGAAATAGAAGATATAATAAAGAAAGAACAGAAATTCATTGACCATTGTTGGACTAAATTTCATGATCTTGTTATCTATTCTATTCCTTATTTTTATGAACTTGAGTTTGTACCCAAATGGGGTTATTCAATGTAATCTCTTTATCTTTAATACAAACAAAGTTCTTTTGCACTCGCCATTGCTTGACTCTGCTTCCTTTTATATTTTAAAACTAATTTAGAGCTTCGAATTGGACAACCTCATCCTTCGAATTATATACCAATCATGTCTTTTTCCAATTCATGGAGTAAAATTGACAATTCTGGCCGATATCGTCTGGAATTAATGCTTTAAATTTTAACAACATTACCCCTCAACATATGGTCATGGTTAATATAATCAATCAATTTCAAATTGACCATTTTTATTTCG